TGAGAATTTTTTTGTTAACGGATTTTTGGACTTTTTTCCATATAAGCGTGAATTTCTTATGAAATAAAATACGGGAGACCGTTAGCAATAAAATTTCAAAAGATTAACGCCAGTTTTGGTTAATTGCACTTGCTTTATAAAAAAAAAAAACAGAAACGCAGTCTCCTAAAAAAAATCTCAAAATTCAACGGGATTTGAAATTTGCACTTCATTAGACTAAAATTGAATGGGCTATAAAAAAAACTACATACTCGAAAAGTTTTTAGAAATTCTGAATAAAAAGTTGAAAATTATGATGAAATTTTTTTGAATTTTATATAAAGTGTGAAACTTTGATTTATATGGTTTATATTATAGAATGAACTATATTTTCATAAATAATAAATGCTAAACAATTTTTATGAAAATAATTTTGAATATTATCTTAGAGCAAGGTAAACACTTTCATTTGTCACCTATTGTATCTAAGTATGCATATATACATACATATGTTCGTATATATGTATAATGTACATTTTATATACTTACATACATATGGAATTCTTCAATAATATCAGCATATCTACATATTTTATCAAATTAAATAGGCGACGACGATTTTCGAACTTGTACGTACATATGTACATACATGCATACATAAGTATGTACATTAGACTGCATCACTATCCATACAAAAAAAAATCGGTACTATTTTTCCATTGGAATTATAAAATCTATTATATTTTAAGACGTCCACCAAAATATTTCGAAAAAATATTAAGATTTAAGTGAGCTGCACCAATTTCAAAATACCTCCAAAAATGGAGTTTTTTATGAATAAATTTACTTTCTTAAATTTTTTTTTTTGAAAAAATCCCCTCAAATGACAAAACGGCTGAAGCTTAAAAAATTTGCAGAAAAATAGTTTAAAAAAATTAAAAAAAATTTGAACGGAATCGTAATTATGAGATTTTTGAGGCTGTTTTTTTTACTTTTTTCAAAGATTCGTATAACAAAAACTTGAATAACTGAATTTTTCTCAACCTTTTTATTTCTTTACTAATAAACTCATTCAAAGGATGAAAGAGAAAGGTAGGATGAAGGAACGTCATTCAAAGTTGAATTAAGATGTGTTGGTATTTGAAAAAAAAAATATTGGGACACGAATGACTTTTTTTTTTGACATAAATAAAAACAGTGTGAAAACACCTTTCAACTGAGATCCCATAAGTCTAAATCAGAATAGTTTTGGCCCAGTTATTCAAGTTTTTCGTAAATCAATCTTTGAAAAAAGTAAAAAAACAGCACCAAAAATTTCATTCTTACGATTCCGTTGAAAATATTTTTAAGTATTTTTATGCAGATTTTTTAAGCTTAATCTGTTTTGCCATCTGAGGGCACTTTTTTCAAAAAGTTCTTTACGAAACTATTTTTATTAATAAAAAACTCCATTTTGGAAGGTATTTTCAAATCGGTCCAGCTCACTTGAATCTTTATATTTTTCCCAAATATTTTGGTGAACGTCTTAGAATATAATAGATTTTATAATCCCGGAGGAAAAACCGCACTTTTTTTGGTGATGCAGTCTAATGTACATACATACATATGTATATGGTATTGTTTACATTTCGCTTTGCTAAAAGCTACATTCCATTACTATGTTTATTGTTTTTCTTTTCTAGTTGCTTTCAGTTATGCGTGGTTTTATGTAATTTTAATTAAAGTCAAAGTCATAAGCAAATGATAATAAAAAATGCGCACATACATACATAAGTACACTGCCAGATATGATACTATACTACTATATCCTGCATTAGAAATAGATATGTATGTATTTATGAGTATAATGGTGCATATTTATGTAATTCGTAATCATGGAAGTATGTCATGGGATATAGACTTTTAAGGCAGCACATGAAAACAGCGTTTATTAAAAATATTTAAAATGCAGACTAACGAAATCACTTGCATATCCATTACATAGTTACATACATATCCGTGTGATACATAGATAGTATACATATGTAGACACCTTTTAGTGGCATGCGTTATAAGGTTAAACTTTTTCACACCTTAATGTGACCTTTCAGTGGCAAGTGCTCTTTTATGACTTAGCTATGTACATTAATGCTTTTGTTTTGTACGCACATACATATGTATATTGAAGAGGCTTTAAAATGCATAAGTAGTACTTAGTGCTGCAAAAACATCGATGTTTGAAACTATTGATTTTTTATGTTTTTGCCAATAAAACATCTTTTCTTGGGAATTTAAACTTATTGTTTAAAGTTTAAATCCACCCTGATAATTAAAAAAACATAGTTTTTTAACAAATTACAATAATTATTTTAAAATTATCCGTTAATTAATTTAAACTTTAATTTGACTTATATTTAAGGTCACATTGAATATTACAGGTTATTCATTAATCAAATGAGAAATATATAAATATTCATAGGGCAACAACTCGATTAAATTGTTATAATTAATGTCTTAATAAATAAATTAAATATTTGCTATATAAAGCAATAACCTAGGGTACACTTCGGGTTTTTAGTCTAAATTTTCCCAATTAGAGATCGAATGGCACTGACAAAAACATTTGTATGAGTGATAATGTCCCTAAACACGCTTGGTACGCTTTTGCGTAAAAATTCGGCTAAACTGTTAAGGATTATGAGTTTATTACGCCTTAGTTTGTATATTTCTTGCTTGTCCCAAATCAGCCACGGATAAAATGTTTAATAATGGCATATGTTTCGAAAAACCCCACTATCGACCGTGCTCCGAGGTTTTTGCAGCTCTACATAATAAGTGGGGATGTGTGCGTTCTTCTGGCCACATGTGCTAACTTTTATATGACACTTTCGATGGAGAAATCTCATACGAGCGCTCATATTTAATACGCACAGTGGCTAGGTTTACAAGAATTAGAGATATACATACATACATATATACATATATATATATATATATATATATATATATAAATATATATATGTACATAAGTACACTCGCAAAAAAAGATTAGGTGCCAAATTCAAGATGACAGTGTTTGTAACTTTTGTTTACTTATTTTTAATAATTTTAATTTAAAATATAGCTCGATTCATAGAAGAAACAACATTCATATATAACATTTGCAAAGTTTACACAAAGTTCACAAAAATTTATAAAATCTCAAAAAGCGTCTTAAATATTTCAAACTTTTTATTCAGAATATAGACGGGACTTAATGGTTTTGCTACAACAATCGCGTCGTACAACTAAACGTTCCCGAGACAGTCGAGTCGCGGTAACCGGAATGACCCAGATTCATATCTGGCCAAGGACTTTCACTCCAGCATCATTGCGACAACAATTAAAAACTGAAAAGAGCCGCTCACAAAGAGTTCTATTATCTACTCCTCTGTATAGCTTAGTAGCGGCTTTTCTCTGCCATTAGAATCTCCTGCCAAAGATATGCATATGACATAGTCATCATTCAATAGGTTTACAACTTACGTAAAGATTATCTGCCAAATTGGGGCTCAATATTTATTGCAAATAAGTAAATAGCCATTATTTCTTTCGCCATGAAAAGAAAGCTGCCAAGAAGGAGGCAAAAACCTCTTAATACGGTCTTGGTTAACTAAGCCCGCGAGGTCACACGCACGGGACTAAATAATAAAAAATTAAGAAATTATATAAAAATTAAGTTTAACGTTTTTTTTTTTTATTAAGTTTATTTCAGGAACAATCAAGTGCTGCTTGATATTCTCAAACAAAGATCATACAAATTTTCGATTTATAAAACAGTTAAAATCTTTTTTTTTATGAATTTGGGTCTAAATATATTCTGTGTTCGTATGGAAAAGGAGCTTATGTCGAAAGGCTGACTTTAGTATAATGCGGCATTCCTTTTATTCTATAAACGACAAGGACTTTTTTGAAGAGACTTAATGAGAATATTGACTTGCTAGTATCGGAATTATTTCTTGCACGTTTATTTGCCAAAAGTTGTTCAACGGCTCAGCGCCAGTGAGTAATTCGCAATCGTATGCCGCGAATGCCGATTTATACTAAAGCCAGCCTTTCGACATAAGCTACTTTTCCATACGAACACAGATATAACATAACTATAGAAAAGGCCGAGAAAGAAACTTGAATAAGTATTGCTAGAGAATGGCTTAAGAAAGGAAAAATTATATCCTCTACGAATATAGACTTTCCAAAAAGTGACATGAGAAACGCCATAGTTTCCGAAAGGTGGTTTAAAATAGGCTTATGCAACAAACCAACTTGGAACAACTCCTTTCAGAGTTTTCACCAGAAGCAAGCTGCATATACAGATGGCTCGAATGTACCAGAAGAAATTCTTGCAGTGATCTTTCGACCCAACAATTCGCAATTTCGCGTAGGTATTAAAGAAATAAGAGAATCCTTATACTAAGTGACAGCCAGGCTGCGCTGAAAGCTCTCTTATCATATGATCTACGCAAGGTCGGGATATATGTAAGTAGTAGACTTATCACCTTTGTCGTTTTTGCAATGAAGAGACGCAATCGCATATCCTCGTTAAGTGTGACGCCGTCTGTGGAAGAAGTGAGAGTGCAGGATTTATGTGGCCACAGTTTGAGAACATTCGCCCCCTATCCCCGGAAGTTCTTATGGACTTTCTAAGTAATTTAGGCTTAGAATAAGTGTTGTGAAGAGTGGAAGACACAACAGATTTTTATATTGAAGCACATATGTACTTATTTCATATTAACATCCATCTATTTAGGAGCTTTCTTTAGTCTGAAAATATTCCAGAACAATATATGGCCTCTTATTGGAGCTACATAATAAACAAGACTGAAAATTATGTAAGCCCGACATTAAAAAACACTGTTCTTATGTGTGTCAATGGACGAGGGCAACGTCAACAGAGACGTCGCTAGAAAAAAATTAGCACGTCCATGTCGAAAAAGTAAACATTTGAATATATTTTGTGAAATCTTCATTAATATTGCGCTGACTTTGAGTTGTCTACGAGGAAGACGGTGCCAATTGGTTTATTATTTCTAATGCATACATATATATGTATGAATGTACTTTATATGTATGTATTAAGTAAAATATTCACTCATGCATTTAGTCACCTAAATACATATGTATGGAATCAATGGAAAAGTAATAAATCTTAACAGCAGCAATTGAACAACAACTACAAAGGCAACAAATGTCCTTCAAAAGTAAACAAAAATGAGTAACACGTTTTGAAGAAAGAAAAAAACATATGTTTTGTATACATAGGTAACTAATTCTTTAAATTGACATCTGCAGTGAGCTGTATATTTACAGGTAGCTAAAACGTATTTAATTTAATAAATAAATAAATGGAAATGTTACTTTGACTTAGGCGGTTATTACTTGTGCCCATAGATATTCGGCAGGTACTCATGTACTCATTGTATCTTGCCTACAAAAACGTTTTTATCTTAAAAAATTATCTCATTTCACAGCAGCTTTTGGCAACTTGCCACTAAAAACAGATAAAATGAACAAGAAAAATACTAAAAAAAAAATCAACAGTTTGCACATTTAGACTCAATAAAAAATGCGGTACGTGCGCTTATACGGAAAATGCTCATATGTTTTAAATACATACATTTTTTAATTTGCTTCATCTTCGGAATTTGTATACTCATGCATGTGTTGCAGCCGCAATTAATTTGAACAGATCCCAAGAGATAACTTGAAAAACAGGATATGCAATATTTTAAAACAGCTTCCTGTCCAGATCAAAACTATTAACTAGTTGAGATTCACCCATCCAAGGGCGAAAGAAAGGAGAAAATCAGAGAGGGAGTGAGAGAGTAGACAAATGCAAGAAGAGTTTTCTATTTTGAGCAGAAATTAACAGATTTGAATCAGGTTCAACACGTTTCTGAGTAGCAAAAGCAGCAGCACCTCGACAAAAGTAAGAATAAAAATTTCAAAGAAAAAAATTGCTGCTAAAAAGAACCGAAGCGCAAAACTAGCGGAAGGTATGTAGGAATTCATAAGAAACATAGAAAGAGCAATCGGGGAAAAAGTTAATAGTTTCACCGGGGGCAGCGCACCCAAGTGGGACATAGTGACGCACAAAATCGGCGACTACAACGGAGACAAGTGTGCGAAATACATACAGATGTAAGCAGGCGCCTAGAAAATAAGAAAATGAAGTGTGAAGCGGTAGCAAATGCCGCAGCTCAGTAGCACAATTTTACAAGTTGTTAGTGGAAGTTCAGCCACGCGGAAGATACGATGATCAGATCAACATATCTACAAGTTGCTTTTTATTCGCAGCCACAACGTACCTGTCATAGACGTCGACAAAGAAAGCATTCGAAGTAGGCCATACTGGGCTTACCAAAATGAAATTGTGGTTGCCGATAAAATATCTTGAGAATGGATTAAGCCCACTGCAGAAAGTGTATAAGAACTGCAAAGAAGTTGTGCAAGATTTTCATAAGTGCGTTGAGCGTCAACTGATTTTATGATCAGCAGGTTGAATTGTTCCTACAGTTGCTAGCTTTTAGTTTGGTAGCTAGGCATTTGGGCAACACAAACTACATACTTAAGTACGGGCGTCACCACTTTTGCTCACTTCATTCAATGCATACGCAGATTCTCGTTCACATTTACCCAATTATCTGCCACTGGTTTGTTCGTTGTGACCAGCAAATGCCAGCCAGTGAGTTTAAAAATAAACTATGGAATCATTCAACGTACTATACGCTCGTGACACCCACAGCACCCATTAGTTGTGGACTCATAAATTTATATACGTAATAATTTTACGTTTTTGACAAGACTTCTGATTTTCCAATAGTAACTTTTTCCTTATGTACAATGCATCTTTAATACTTAAATTTTTGTAATATCTATTGTTTATTTGAATAACATTTTATTTACCGAGTCCAAATTGAAAAGTGAAGATACTTTTTTGATGAATCCACCACCACTACCACTGCCCTCTGGACGCTTCTTCTTGCGCGTTGTCATTTTGTTACGCCACCAACCCTGATCCTCAAGTAATTATCCTAGTTATTGCTTACGAAAAGGCACTTTTTGCTATATGAGATTTTCACGCTTTTTCTGTCACTAAATACACAGTCCGCCAATTGCTACGGATGTCACTCGCTGCGCTATTGCGCTCGTTCGACTTTATTTCAAATTCAATTCAGAATTTCTTTACGCGCACGAAAAAAAAAATAAAAAATTTACACATTTGATATACATATTAGAAAAACACTGCGCGCTGAGCTAAAGCTACTTCTTCCTCCTCTTCGTTTTATTTCAAACACCTTTCGTATTTGTTGTTGCACGGTTTTGTTGTCCACCTTCTCCGTTCTCTGCAGCCTTGCTATTTCTCTCGTTTACTTTCTGTCACTTTTTGCCTCTCAGCGGCTTCTTCGCGTGCTCCAACACTATTGAACTACCACCATTGCTTCTTTTGTTGCTACGTTTACAACTGCCTTAATTTCTGTTTTGTTGCACACGACAATTTACTTTTTATAGTAATGTATTTTTAGCACATTTGTTATTTTTCCCCTTTTTCGTCCATGGAGCTGTGCGTCGTTTTTACTCAAACCGAAAAATTGTCCGCGAATGCTACTACCGCAACACTTTGCTGACGATGAACATGTAATAACGCGGCAATAGCAATAGCACAATGACACCGCCTTCAGGCATTGCTCTCGCTACGACCGCTCAGCATTACAAAACCACCAAAAAAACATTAGCACAAAAGCCGCTACAGTGTTAGATTACTATATTTTTAGGAAACAGCAATGCGCTTTTGCGAAATATTACACTCTATTTGTTTATTTATTTTAAATAAAAGCAAAATTAAAGCTTTAACCAGATTTCCNTGTTTTGTTGCACACGACAATTTACTTTTTATAGTAATGTATTGTGGCGAATACTGCGGCAACACAAAGCGAACAACGAGAAATAGGCAGAATGTTCGAGGAATGACGTAGAATGTTCCACAAAGAGAAACGTCAAGTTGGATGAACACTGCGAACAGCGAGAAAAAGAGAATGAGCGATAAACTTCAGAACGTTCTAGAGTTGCCATAAGTGTGAGCGCAGGTATATAAGAGCCACGACACAGCGGAGTTGAGTTAGTTACGAAGTTGCAAGTCAGCAAGCTACAAGTAAAGTGAGCAGAGAAGCGAATTGCGAATAAGCAAGCTATAAGTTTAATTGTGTGTAACAAGTTCAGTAAAGCGTTGTAATTGCCTTAACAAGTATTGTAGTATTTTTACTGTATTAGCAAGTATTGTAAAATTGTTTGTTGTACAATAAAGTTAATTGTACTACAATTCGGTCATCGTTAGCATTTATTTAACAATCCAGCGATACGAGCCCGAGTATATTTGGGAAATCCCTCAAGGTTTCGAGGATAATCGTAACAGTATTTTTAGCACATTTGTTATTTTTCCCCTTTTTCGTCCATGGAGCTGTGCGTCGTTTTTACTCAAACCGAAAAATTGTCCGCGAATGCTACTACCGCAACACTTTGCTGACGATGAACATGTAATAACGCGGCAATAGCAATAGCACAATGACACCGCCTTCAGGCATTGCTCTCGCTACGACCGCTCAGCATTACAAAACCACCAAAAAAACATTAGCACAAAAGCCGCTACAGTGTTAGATTACTATATTTTTAGGAAACAGCAATGCGCTTTTGCGAAATATTACACTCTATTTGTTTATTTATTTTAAATAAAAGCAAAATTAAAGCTTTAACCAGATTTCCAATACGTCTACTGCCAGCGCAACATGTTTATCACTGCCACACATCGATACTCGAAACTAAAATTTTCACAAACTTTCACGCAGCTGGCAATGCCACACAACTATTTGACACTCACAAATTGAGCCTCTTTTTTTTGTCCTCTTTCATTGCTAAATTTATAACACTTTTCAAAGTCATTAAATTTACGCGCTTTTTCTACACTCTTTTACATTTCGCCACTTATAAAGTGTTGCACATTGATTAGAGGGAGTTTAGATGATATTTAACAACTGTTCAAACAATTAATTACGCGAAATTACCTATTTTTTCACGCATTCAAACGCCGCTTCGCCAGCAACACCCGAATCGGAAAAATTACGAAAACAAAAGTAAAGAGAAATAAAGAACATGAAAAAACGATTGGCAACATTTCAGTGAACTTGTTGCGGTCAACAGAGGTGCCATATTGCATGAATGTAGCAGTGCTGATTATGTTGAATAACGTGCTGTATACTTCAAGTATGGTGAATTTCTTAATTAAATTTTATACCCCGAAGTTTGTTTTATAAAAATTTAAAATTCATATACTGTACAGCTTGTGGCATAACATTTCCTTTTCACGTAAAAAATAATTTTTAATGTTTTTCTGATTATTTCTGTGCCGTTCAATAAAAGTTGCTTAAAGGCCCCACCTTTGCGTCACAGGGATGCTTTTGACTGACAAAACGCACACATAAGATGGCGAGACGGCACAATGAAAACGTTGCAAAGTGTGCAGTGCCACCATCCAAGGCATGGCAAAGAGGGGCTCACCACAGAATGGTGTTATGGAGGTAACTCTGCTTTAGATTGTGGTCGAAAACCACCTGCAAGAGGAGCTGTGATTACATAGAGACTGGAATGATGTTCTACTTTTAAGGAGAAGACAAGGGTAGTAAACCAGGGTATTAAATGATCTGCGAACGGCGGGCTCGCTATAAATCCTATTGGTCGGTTTCACACTGGAACATTTCTGCCACCAGAACGACTCTGTTGGCAAGAGAGACCGTGCGGTGAGGTAAAGTTTCTCAAAAAGTTGTTCCAGCTTCTACCCTGCATTAAAGTGGGAGTTCTTCAAAGTTCAAAGTTACAAATACATTCAAACGTCCAATACGTACACACATTTTGTTCTGCTGTTGTTCTGCTACTTTTCATTCAGTGTGAAACCATGAGAATAATTGTTCTGTCATTCTGGTGTGAAACAGCCCATTAAGACGGAACTCGTTATGTTCGCTAGGAACAAGGCGAATTCATATAAGGTGGTATAGATACGACAAATACAAAAATTCCTTTTTTGTTTTTGCATTTAGCGGGCCATTGTCAAATTTCAGCTATTCTTCCCCGAAGGAGAAAGGGCCGCAGAAAATGCATACACCCTTACGTTTTTACTCACTCGCTGGCGAAATACCAAATTTTGACAATCACACGCTATTCACAGCTGATGAAACAACACCACATTAGATAACTTCGCCTTGGATAGGAATTGTAATAAGTCCATTCACAGGCCTATTCTGCCTGTAACCGAACATTTTGTAACAAGCTAATTTTGTTACCAACAATTGTAACCACTTCTTGCAACCGCAATTCTATTTACCTTGGTAACGTTTAAATTTATTCAGCAATTCAACTATGGAGTTTTGTTGAAATTCTGGTGTTGCATATTTCACGGGGCAATATTTTGTTACCTGCTCATGAGATGGTAACAAAATTTACCGGTTACAAGAGTGTGGAGAATACGAAAAGGGTTTAAAAATTTACAGTAACTTTACTAACCGGTAACAAAATTTTTGTTACCAACGCAGAATAGGCTTGTCAATATCAAAAAATTGTTACGAATCGTTAAGAGTACTTATAAGTTTTTCGCTCTCTCTTGCAAATATTTTGGGTTATTGGATGCATTTCCAGTAATTCGAGAGCGTAACAACCCGAGAGAGCTGCAAATTTTTACAAGTAAAAACTGTTTAAGAGGATGATTTGATGAAACATAAATAAGTAAAAATGAATCAATAAAAATTAGGCTTTTAGAAATATTAAAAAATATTTAAAGTTGTGACTGGTGGGACATCTCCTTGTGACTGCTGTAAGTAATTATGCATGAAATAAAAGTTTCCATAGGCAAAAATTACAACTTCTTTTGATTTTTTTTTAATATTTTCCCACAGGTTCGTGAAATGTAGTCATTTAAAAAGAGGTTACTACTAAAATAGATCATACTTAAATTTATGTCGTTTTCCTCTTTTCAGTGGAATGACCCATATGTATGTATATCAAAACAATGAATATAAAAAAAAAAATATATATATATATATAAATATACTATAAAAAATAATAAATATACAAACCTCTTCGTCCAACGGTAAAAAATAAAATTCAACATGCCAAAACAAATCAAGTTAGGAGTTTATTTTTTATTTAGAAAACAAGCAAATACAAAAAAAAACTTAAAAAATACACAAGCAATCGGAATACATATAAAACATTTATTAATTAATTGTTACGAAATTACTCAAATAAAAATGGTTACAAAATAATGCAAAATTTCATCAAAAGAAAATGTCAAATTATTGGCATACATGTTGTGTATAACGAAAACACTCACCAACACAGTAACGATTAACTTAATAAAAAAAAAATAAGTGCAAAAGTGAACGTAAATGGTTCTACGGATACATACAGACTTGCAATAGGTGTTAAGGAAAAAATGAAATTGTTTACAGCAAGAAATTGGCAGGAAAACGAGCGTGTAAAATAATTGCTATGGCAATGGGGAATAAAAATTATACAAAAAAAACATTTCATTAGCGAAAGCAAGGGAGCGGAAACGGTAAATTGCTAAAGGTGCAAAGGCAAACGAGTGTGGAGGGAAAACGGAAGTAAGGAAGGCGCGCAGCACCCCATTATAGTTATGCTATGTATGTACACTTTGCTCAACTACCTCCAAACCAAAATATGTATGTACATATGTACATACAGTGTCGAACAAAAGTATTGTCACAGTGGATTTTTCGCAATATATGCAATCTTTTTATTCTAATTAAACAAAAAAACCTCTAAACTTTGTGCAAAATTTTAGAAATTCTAAGTTTGCAGTTTAGCCCAGTCAATTTTAGTATAACAAAGTGCAAGTTTGAAGCTGCTAGAGATACGCGTTAATTTAAAAAAAAATTGTTTCACTCTGGTTCTTCCATACAAAGTATTTTCCGACAATTATTTTTTGTATGGAGATGAGCAACACCTTCTACTAGAAAAATTTGCAAAAAATCAATGCGATTTTCTAGCAACTTCAAACTTGCACTTAAACTAGAATTGAATGGGCTATAAAACTGCATACTGAGAATTTCTAAAATATCTGAACAGAAAGTTTCAAATTACCATACATATTTATTTAATTTTCCTGAAATTTGCACAAAGTTGAAAGATTTTGTTTTTTTGTGTGGTATGAACATTTTTTTTTTTTTATAAAAAACTATCGAAAATAAAAAGTTTGCATATATTGCGAAAAATTCACTGTGTTCGTCACTGTATGTGTTTAAAAGCGTTTCAATAAATGAATTTAATAAGAAAATTGGAGAAATCGGCAGTGAAAATACGACGATGAAGCAATTCCATAACAAGGTAGTGGCTACTAATAATGTCTGGTTAAATTGCACACCAGTTGTGCAGTTGCTTTATTATATTGTATGTACATTAGACTGTACCACCTTACAAGCAAACAAAAAAGTGTGTATCTTTGCAGGGCAATTTGGAAAAAAATTTATTTAGGGTCCGCTTTTAACATTTTCCAGAGACACCTATATTCGCCTATATTTTTTTTTTGCGAAAGTTTAATGATTTTTGGTGCGCTTTAATCTACTGATAGTAGGGTGCTACGTTAGGTTGATAAGAACTGTGATCTGGTGAGTAAGTACTAGAACGGGATGCCCGAGGTTAATGAACTTTGCAACAAAAAAAAAAAAAATTTTAAGCACATCGATATATCATACGTTAAAATCCAACTGTAAATGCCGAAGATATGACGAATAATTTAAGAAGGCAACCCCCATATAAGCTGCGGCCAAAAGTCGTAACCGTACTACAAATTCGATGAAATTTCATGTATACGCTATTCCTGAGTTTGGGAAAGAAGAAATGTGGAAAATGATAAAATTCGATGAACTGCCACGCCCACAGCTTTTGTGGGCGAAAATGAGAAATGTTATCCGATTTTGGGAAAATTCAGAGAATATGCTTGTATGTTCTTTATTTTATGTACATACATATATATGTACATATACTCACAAAATTATGTGCGTAGAATTACTAGTGAAACTGTCTTATGAATTTCAGTAGATGTGTAACGCTGAAAGTGTTCTTCTTGCCAAAACGAACGAAACTATTGTGCCAATAATGAAAAAAAAAAACAATTACATTGAGGTTGATCACGCTTGCCTGGTTATCAGCTTATCTGGCTAAAAATTATTATTGTGTAGTGTATTTTATTGCTGTAAACTGAACAACCTCATACAGTAAAAGATGGATATGATTTTTTAGAACACAAAATTCTATTTTTTAAATTTTTATTGGCTCACTCGAAATTCATTCTAAAATTGCTATAAATATCACATATGTAATACTCCTATATTGGCAGTAAGAGCTAGTACCGTCCGAAAACACTACAGAACAGATATATCAATAAACACGTACGAAAGAAAAGGAACACTTACGTTCAAAAATAAACATGTACACAACACATATACAAAAACGACACTCAAGTACACAATACATTGACAAAAACGGTACTAGACTGTCTCGCTTGAAATATACATGAAAAAAATACTATGTGCCACAAGGAATACTGTGTAAAATTTTCCAAGCCAATTTGAATTTCTTTAAATTATACGACTTTTAAGTTAAGGCGTGCGAGTAAACGTGATAGCTGACAGTCTATGGCGCTACGAGGCGTATACGTTACATACACAGCTACGGGTGTATGAGCACGAGGTCTTATTTTTACTTTTTAACCGACTTCATAAGAAGGAGGAAGGTTATCGGTGCGTCGAAATATTTTTAATTTTTTAATTTTTTATTTCATTTATTTTTTATTTTATTGTTTATTTATTTTTTTTTGTTTTTTTTTTTGAATGTATGCTACCACATAACTTCTGACCACGTCAACCGATTTATATAATTTTTTTAAAGCAAAGGTGTTACCTCACAGGTGGTCCCATTCAATTTGGTTTAAATCCGTTCATTGGATGATGAAGAGATTAACGATAGTCTTAAATTTTTATATGAGAATTGAAGTCGGTTTTGTTTTTTGCTTAAAAATTACTTGTTTTCGTATATCTTTTTTTTTTAATTTAATGTAAATACAATTTCGCGATGTAATCTTATTCTTTACGCAAAATAGAAGATAATGCATTGTTTAAGATGGATATGCCACCATTTTATACCAAAAAACACGTTAATTTAAGTTACTTGCGACAAAATCTAAATTTTTTATATAAATATATTTTTTAAATTTTGCTATGAATCTGCGCAATCGCTTTGTTTGAAATTGGGTAGTCCGTTTTTACTATCTTTAGGTCACTGTAGGTAGTCCCATTTGGTTTCAAAAAAAAAATTTTTTTTTTCCAAATTGCCTTGTAAAAACACTTTCGATTCAAAGGTGTACGCTGAACTTTTTTTCTGGTACGGTCTAATGTACATAGTATGTATGTACATATGTACATAGGGCGCGCACGCTGGTGGAAGAGGTGCTACGCGCGCCCTGCTTTAGAAAGGCGAAAAGAAAATAATGTTGACATTTCCTATTGGAGCCAGTTTGCGCGTGAAATAAATAAAACGGGACTGTTACGAATTTTAGAAATAAAGTGTAGTTTGAGGTTGACTGTGAGACTGTGCTCGATTTGATTGAGGGAAAAAGAACTAATTGAAATAATTCACCAACTATGGGCAAATTGGTGTAATACGCTGCAGAAAAGCAAATCAAAAATTAGATGCAAAGTGTTTGTAGCGATGTTATTAATTAGGCATTTAAATCCAGAAGGGATAAAAGCAAGCAAGCGAAAAATTTGTAGGTGGGTACATATCAATTACCCATTTGCAGGCAATTAAAATGATAAATAGGCGACACACAAACGCCTGAGCTTGAGCTGTTGTTGTTATTGTATTGTTTATTAATGCTGTTATTATTGTAGACATTAGCACTTACAGCTTCGCTGCTTGCAGTGTCCACATTAGCACTACCAGGCTGCTGTTGGCGATTATGCTGGGACGCCGCTTCAGGTGAACGAGCCGCCTTGGCAACATTGACGCTGACGCCTTCAGTTGCTGCCGCAGCGCCTGTACCGCTTACTCCTGCGCTCTCTTTGGGTGCATCGCTGTCGCCATCGACTTTCATGCGCTGATTCTGTAAGTGAAAAAAGAAGAGAAAATGAAAACGTCAATTTGCGTTAATACTCGCAGTTAGTAAGTTATTATGTAAAAGTGGAAAATATTTACAATAAGAATATGCATTTCAAATTTAAATGGAAAATGCTACATATACTTATGCATGCCAGCATTACCATATTTTTAACTAAAATATGTATGTATAAGTATGCACTAAAATTTACATGGATAGATTTCTAGCGCGCATTATTACGCTTCCATAGCCTTATAATTCACGCTATCTACACACTTACATTAGCGCAGCAGCAGGCATACTGAGCACCGCCGCCACCATTGCTGTTGCTGTTACCCTTTTGACCACTATTGCTCGCCCCGCTACTAGTGGTGGGCGTCTTTGCTCCACCGACCGGTGTTGTTGCACTGTTGCTTGCATGCTTGCCAGTTGTTGGTGTTTGTGCTGTGGCTGCTGCTGGTGCTGCTGCTGCTGCCGGTGGCGCCACCAACTGCCTTCTTCGACGACGTATACGCACCGGCGAACGCGCACCGACGTAATTAGAAAAGCGTCGACGCGAATGTCGCACGATTGACACCCAGTCAATCATGATTGTTTTACGATTTCTTAACTAATATTTTTTTCCTTTTTTACCTCACTTTTATTAGCTCGGGATGTAACTATGTAATATTGATGCGCCTAAGAGATGCAGCGATTTCTATTCTCAAGTTACATACGTGATGACAGTACGAATGGAAATTATAATAGCGAGGTTTTAGTTTTTCAAACTATAATTTTATTTATTTTAATTACAGCTCTTGAAAGTTTTATGCGCTTTAAGTTTTTAGCACTAAATTTGCCATTATGAAGCAGTCTTTAATATCCTTCGATTTCAATTATCCATATGCATCAATTGCAATCAGTTGGGCATAACATTGAATATCGCTCCCTTTCGACGCGGATTCCACTTGGCATTAAATGACAAAAATTTTAATGACAAAGTTGGGCATTAAAAAATATCTGTGCCATTACGTTAAGTAAAATTGTCACTAAATTCGTTTCGACAAGGCATTTTTTAAAAAGCACACATTTCTCGCCATTTCAATGCCTAGTGGAAATTCGGCATTACTTTTGAAACATCATTATTAGAGATGAACGATTTTCAACAACAAGTGGCATAAGCGATATTGAAAACACAAGTGCACAAAGCAAATCTTCGATTTTTTTTCTTGTAAATTTTTTAATTTTTTTTAAATTGGGATTTGAGTATGTGTAAAGTGTAAATTTTTACTAAAAATATCTAAATTCAAACTTTTCTTTTAATTTCGCAACTAACGCTATATGAAGATTTTAGTGGTACACCGTATATAAAACCGAAAATTTCAAACTTTATTAATATATTTAATTTAAATTAAGTACAATCAAGGCATATTAAACAGGTAGGACCAATAGAGCAGATAATAAGGATTTTAGATTAGAATAAGAATTTTTCACCGAGGCAGTTTTTTTTCATATAAAAAATAAGCGTTCATACTTGGCATATTAGAAAATGCGTAACACGTACAAAAAAAAAAATAAATCAACGCCATTTTTAAGAAACTCCAAACTTGCACCTTATAATAGTAAAATTTAAGTTTTTAAGTTTAAAATTTTTGTGTAAAGTTTAAAAACCGGATTTACATGATATATTTTTATAAAAAATGTATGAAAACTGTCAGTGCTGAGCATCAAAAGCGTGCGATATTCACAAGTCGACGGCAATGTAATTAGTGGAAGTATGCATGTAATTTAATCACATTTTTTCCATAAGCTTATCACTAATGACAGCAGCTAACTACTAATATTCCATACCCATGTATACATACATACATATGTACCTATGCATACCTATGTAACTATGTAACGTTTCGTGGATGTACCAAGAAAAACTGCAAAGGTTAATGATATCCGAACCACCACTCATTCAAGGTGATGTACATATATCAAGTCAACGCGCGGAAGTAATTAACAGCATCTTAAGTCATTAAAGCTGTGAATGGGTACTTGTTTACCAGCTCTTTTGGTTTCGTCTATACTTATGTACATACACATATGTATGTATTTCTATTTCAGATCCAAACATTTTCATTATCTACTCCAAAAAAAAAACGAGAAGTAGAAATAAACTTTGCCTCCCGCTAAATAAAAGTCTTTGCTAAACTTTTAAAGCAAATTATAACAAAAAGGCACTTAAGGCAGCAGCGCGCCAAAAAAAAAGCGCAATTCAAAACTAGACGATTACGTACTTTGAGTGAAAACACGCTACAAATGAATGCTGTTAACAAAATTATGCGCCTTCAAAGTACAATAGCGTGTAACTAATCCACGCTAGTAGCAACATTGTGTTTACCACAATATGTACTCGTTGACATTTCTTGCAAAACTAATTCATTCGTCACCAGCAAGAAATAAAAGAAATAAAAAGAAAAAAGATGAATCATTAAAATCTGTCACAGCGCTAGATTTAACTACACACATACATATACATACTTTTCCACACCAACACTTGTCTATGTAGCGCGTAATCCACAAGAAGCATGCCTCAACCACTAGGCTGTCGAGAAGAGGAAAAACCCCCACAACTGAGCGCACATAAAGATGCAGCACTTAAGGTACGTGTGATGTGTGACAGTTAACCTCCGTTGCGGGTCAAACGTCAGCATAAATCTACTGCGCTGCCAAAGAGGTGCATGCATAATGGTTAGGTGACGTTAAATTGTGTGTGAACAAAGTACTCACTGTACAATGGGATTTATGTTGTTATGTTGTATGTACATACATATGTATGTATGTATGTATGGCCATTGTGCTTTTCTCATTTTTCGATGCAACCAGAGTGCTACGTTTTTGTTTTTGACAAATAAAAATTTGATGCCGCGAGAAAGGATAATAACGCATTAACAAAGCTTGCTGGCCTGCTTGCTCAGTTGGATTTATATCACACACATTCTTCAAAAGTGTATTAATGCAAAATTTATAATTTTTGACACATGCACAAAAACATAACATATGTACATACATAAAAATCCGATCTATACATATTAGATAGTAAGTTTAATTATGCTTGGGGAATGCCTGACCTCTGAGGAGTGGTCAGGAAAGGCAGCAACCAAGAAAATAGAGTTTAGTCTTTCTGGACAAAGATGAACCGCAGGCACTCATGGGATCTCCTTAGCCTCACAAAGCTAACCCTCAATTATAGTAGGCTTGGCTTGATACGAACTGGGTATTCAGTAAGAGAAAGTCGCAAGAAGTTCAACCAAAATGTATGGTAAATATGTCATTTTGCTCGTGGTGCTTGCATTCTATAGCAAGTCACTGTGGGTAATTTGAACCATTTTTAAGGCAAAAATTATTTATGACCAAGCAAGTGGGGTACTCAAAAAACATTTTCTTTTATTGATTGGCATATGATTTTCCACATTTCTGCAAAACAAAATCCCGTGGGGTCTAAAGGGGTCACTTTTTAATTTGCGGTTATATTGAAAAAGTTTGAATGCAGTTTTTTTTCTAAATATTTATATCAAAGAATAAAAATTCTACTTAGTTATAAAAGCTATTTATATCGTGGATATTTTTCAAAAAATATTGCCAAATTATATTAATTTCAATTGAAAATTTGAAAATAATGAATTTTCCAAAATTTTTCTGCTGAAAAGTTAAAAGGAGCAGCCTTTGCAGCAATAAACACACAACTTAAAAGCTTTTTCATATTTCATTTTTAAGAAATAAAACTTAATTAATGGTTATGTCAGAAGTATGCATTTTACTCTAAGAAAAAAAATACATTTTTCTGAATTTTCAATATTTATGTAAATTTTTTCGATAAAAATTTATTCAACCAAGGCTGTTTGAAAAAACTAGTAAAAACAACATAAAAACGATTCCAATATTTCACTTACTGCTAAGCAGTTATAATTCGTTTTTTTACAAAAGCAAAGGACACAGCCATTTGGTTTGACTTTTTCTTTTATTAAATACCAAGGGCAGTAAATTTATTTTTGTGAGTACGAGCAACGACTTTTTGCCACAAAATCTGATCAAAATACCTATAGTGCAATCGAAGGGATGATGTGTAGTTTTAGAGCTACAAACAAATCAAAATGTCGATGCATTCCAGTGCACGTGGCTACATATGACCATTTCCGACTGGGTACTTACTACGTACGTATGTATGTGTATACGGGCTTACATCTTTGCACAATTATATTCGACTTAAGTGAGCTTGTTACAGGCGAACTCGAGCGACTTGTTACGTGCATTCGCCTCTTC